TTCTTGTAACTGTAGAAACTCTTTTGTTGGTATCTCAGGAAATTGATGATCTTTATTCTTCTTTTTTTAAATTTATTGATGTCCTGTTTTCTTGTAACTGTAAAAACACTTTTGTTGGTATCTCAGGAAATTGATCATCTTTTTTCTTATTTTTTAAATTTATTGATGTCCCCTTTTCTTGTAACTGTGGAAACTCTTTTGTTGGTATCTCGGAAATTGATAATCTTTATTTTTCTTTTTTTTAAATTTATTGTTGTCCTGTTTTCTTGTAACTGTAGAAACTCTTTTGTTGGTAATTCAGGAAATTGATAATCTTTCTTCTTCTTTTTTAAAATGTATTGATCTCCCATTTTCTTGTAACTGTAGAAACTCTTTTGTTGGTATCTCAGGAAAATTGATCATCTTTATTATTCTTTTTTTTTATTTATTGATGTCCTGTTTTCTTGTAACTGTAGAAACTCTTTTGTTGGTATTCAGGAAATTGATAATATTTTTCTTATTTTTTTAAATGTATTGATCTCCTATTTTCTTGTAACTGTAGAAACTCTTTTGTTGGTATCTCAGGAAATTGATCATCTTTTTTCTAATTTTTTTAAAATGTATTGATCTCCTATTTTCTTGTAACTGTAAAAACTATTTTGTTGGTATCTCAGGAAATTGTTAATCTTTCTTCTTCTTTTTTAAAATTTTTTGATGTCCTGTTTTCTTGTAACTGAAGAAAGTCTTTTGTTGGTATCTCATTAAATTTATGATCTTTATTCGTCTTTTTTTAACATTTCCAGATGTCCATTAGGGGTTCTCTCTGGAGATGGGATTTCCTGACAATATGAGCTCTGACAGGCTCTGGTTTGTGTTACTGTGGCTTTAAATGACAGAAACTAGTGACTGCTTACAAACAGAGATGTCACTGGCAGGAACTAACGTCTCCTGAATATGACGAGAAGCAGGCAGAAAAACGGACAAAACCTTTTAGAATAAATGTGTCAAATCACATCGTTTCCTACAGTTTCTATTTTTCTATCTTTATTTGGATTAGCTCTTCTTCCTCAGTCATTTCTTGGTATTATCTTTTACCCTTTCCCTGCCCATGATAGACTGTCAATGAATTGTAACCCCTATCAAAGTACAGCTTTGGGTTAACTGACTATTGTTTTTTGTTTGGCCTTATAGTTAATACGTTTAATTTTAATATCAGAATTTAAGAGGGAAATTGCGTTTCAAGATCTGATTGGCATCTTCATTTACAATATAAATGCTTATAATCTATACATAAGTCTTATTTTCAGCGGCTAGTCAAACAAAGAGTTTGACTGGCTAATTATTTGATTCTCATCCAAAATCAGCCGGATGCTTTTTCCATCTTAAATCCTTCCTCCCTGGACACATATCTCTCACAGTCTTTTGCTGGAGCTTTCTTTCCAGCTTTTCTCTGCTCACGGCTTTGCTCTCTGCTGGATTTCTTCACGTATCTGTGAACGGTCCTGAATAAGCCTTAGTGGTCTTCCCTGGGGGGTTCTTTTGATATTTATCTGACTGGACTTCTGGGGTTTGTTGTTCCCTCCGTCCCACACTCAGCTGACTGTATGCATTTAACTATGTGGGATTATTCCAGACTTTTTTCACTTAGTAAAACTGCTGTGTCACAACTTGTATGGTCAAAGGTTTCTGCTATACACGGCTTGTAATTAATTGTATCTGGACAAGATAACAGATTCTGACAATTTTTTTTACTTGGTGAGGGAAGACTATGCTTAAAATATCAATTTCCTAAAGGAGATAGGCCAATTTGGATCGATCATATATATATATGAATATATATATAAAGAAAACGGGGCTACAAAAACATTAGATATACGGTAGATAGAACTTTAGATAAAAATGGGCTTGTGGTCAGATATTAATTATTCACTAACAAATGTGAGACGTTCATTGTGTTTAAAAAAAAAAGAAAAAAAGAAGAAGACAGACAGTGCGTTTCCACACCGGCTCATTTAACAAGTCTGAATTAAAGTGAGTTTAATCTCCCTTGCTTAACATATTGTCTTCAATTGTTTCAGGTTACTCCTCAGATACTGTGGGAGTTTTCTGTTCTGTAAACTGGAAACCCACTGAATGTTCTCACAGAAATAAGGAAAATACAGTCAGCTTAAACAAGATACACAACAGTAAGGAGTGATTAGTGATGGCAGGTACCCTGTTTGACTCTCTTATATTTGTGTACAGTTCTTTAATAGTGTGCTCATAGTGAGTCCAGGTGTGTGCTTACCTGGGTATGTTGTCATCAACGGTGGCACATCCGTACAGAAAGACTATGACTCCGACCAGGGATGCAGGGATCAGCATCTGGGTGTACAGACCCAACCAGGCGAAATACAGGCCGATCTTCTCCCCAAAATACTTCCTGAATGACAAAAAAAGAGATGCAAAAAAAGAACATGTATTAACTTATTATATATAGCCGTTTCTTTATCCTTACTGTTTATTAAAACAAAAATAGAATAAATTCAGCATGTATGTTCACTGTAGACAGTGAATTATCCGTGTGGGGAGCAGGGGACTGTCAATATTATTATTAATTAGGCTTTCATTTTAGAGGCTAATTCAGGCTAATTTAGGCTTTTTTATTTGGTCAGCACATTTATGGATCATTTCCTGCTTTTTTTAACTCCTCATTGAATGGGAAGATCATCACCATGTCATGACTTTGTTTTTTTTTCTAATGAATTTGTAACTTTATATTACAATGAACAGGACTCAGGTGGAATATTATTATATCTGAAGTACAAAGAGAAGGCATCTGATGTGATTTTACACCATATCAATAAAACTAAACTGTATTAGACATAACAGCCACATCCTGATGAATGTCAGACATTGAAACGGTTTGATTCATGACCTCTTTACACCTGGAATCATCCAGAGATGCTGCGCCTGAAACTAAACTAAATTTTTAATTACGGTGGAAATTGGGTCCTTACCGCACGAGTCCGATTGGCTGGTATTTGTAGAAGACGCTGTAGTTCGCCCACTCTTCATACAAAAGCTGTAAAATCAACCGGCCATCATTAGTTTCACCACCTTAAATTGTTCAAAAACCTTACATGTGTGTGAGTGATTATCTGGTTTAATCACTACACAAAGCAGCATTATAATCCCATCTACAATTTGTGAAGTAGCGAATAGTTAATCTCTGAATGAAGCTTTAACCCTTTAAAGCCTGATCCAAGAATAAAACAAAACAGAAATTTCTTTTTTTTCGGTTTGAATTCCTTATTTGGCCTTTTAACAAAATATGTAAAGAGAAAAAACAGAAATACATTTTTTATATTAATAATTTATTACTATGCGATAAGTCAAGATTATTTTTTGTGTAGTCTTCTGCCCCCTGTTATCAGGTGTATCTGATTGTGTACAATAGGATTTTGAGCAACGTTTTTACCATTAAATGATGCAAAAGGTGTCAGACGCAAAACATTTCAGAAACCGTATGAATCAAATATGAAACATTTGGCATTACAGGGTTAAAGTCAGAAACACATTCAGGCATCCAGACGGTGATTTTTCTGACCTTTCTGTCATTGATTTCTGCACTCTCCTCGTTAATATCCCCCTGAAAAAGAAGAGAAGAAGAAAACCTGATGACCTGACTCCACCAGCCAATAATGAATCAACTTTTAAATTCTGATTTGAAGATGGCTGGTGGAATCTTAATTACTGTCCTGTTTTAATGTAAAGTTACTAGGAGTAAACTTGCTAGCAGAAAGCTATTGATCCGTCAGTGATGTGGGATTTCTGGTTAGTAAACAGCAGAAATAGATCCCACTGTGGGGACCTGACCTCTGCTGGAGCCCTGATCCGGACTTAAAGGAGTCATATTATACCCTATTTCAACAGGTTAAGCTAGTTCCCTGGTGTCCTAATGTAATGTCTGTGACAAGCTTTGGTCAAAACCCCATAAGGATGAAGCCCAATAGCAGTTCAGTCCCCCTGCCTAACCCTAACCCTAACCCTAACCCTAACCCTAACCCAAAACAGCCCCGTTCAGAGCGCTCGCTTTGGAGTGCCTGTCTCTTTAAATGCAAATGAGACACAGGCAATCCACCCACTTCTTCAGGGAGGTGTGCCCACGTCGGCACGCTAACGCTACCATGCTAACACTACCATGCTAACGCTACCATGACAACAGGTGGACGGGAACTCTGGGAGAAAGATGGAAACTTTTCGGTCCAACCTTATATGTTTGAACCAGAGTCAGACCCTGAACAAGAAGGAGCTAGCAAAGAAGCTGTTCAATGTAGACTGCAACAAGACGTTTCTGAATGGTGAGTTATGAGCTTTATTTGACTTTTTTCTTAAAAATGTGTATGTTTGTACGTCGGGTAAATACAATCGCTGACTAAATATGGTCAACCGCTGACCGACCGCTGTTTGTGTAATTTACTGCTTATAAAAATCTAGATTTCTGTTAGTTGAGTAAACATAAGTAGCATGCTATTCCCATTACACAAGTAACTGTTACAAGTCCGCACAGATAGGCGGAGTTAGCTGAGGGGGGGGGGGGCAACATGCAGGTGAAAGGCTGGAATATTATAATGAGCTAGAGCTAATGAGGTCAGAAACTACCCACTCCTGAAACCTCCTGATTTATCTCCTGGATTCAGACTGAGGCAGCCCACAAAAACATGATCCAGTCATTTTTTTTCACACTTTCCCTGCTGATAGGCCCTCCACAGTCCCAAATGTACATAATCAAATGAATAAAAACTTGGTTTTGCATAATATGTTCCCTTTAAGCCGTAAAGGAGAAACCATCTATGCCACAGTAGCAGAAAAACTCACATCGTGAAGCGGGTAGGCTGCCGTGTACACGCCGCGGCCCAGGAGGCTGGTGATGCCTAACGGGAAAAGGCAGAAGTTTAAAGACGTTTACAGACGTTTACAGACGTTTATAGACGTTTACTGACGTTTACAGACGTTTACAGACGTTTATAGACGTTTACATACGTTTACAGACGTTTACAGACGTTTACAGACGTTTACAGACGTTTACAGACGTTTACAGACGTTTAAAGACGTTTACAGACGTTTACAGACGTTTACAGACGTTTACAGACGTTTGCAGACGTTTATAGACGTTTAAAGACGTTTACAGACGTTTACAGACGTTTGCAGACGTTTACAGACGTTTACAGACGTTTGCATTAGTTCAGGAACTGGGATTACACCACACAGGAAACATGGAGTCCCGCACACAGAAGGAGCTGAGCTCAGCTTTTCTGTTCACCTTCTGATGGTGTGAGCTTTTTTCTGTCCCCTATTGATGAGTTATCACTGTGTAAAGATA